AATTTTATATAATCAAATAATAATAATAATAATCAAGTCGATTATAATAAACAAATATAATTATATTAATAAATAATAATTTATTTTCATTTAAATAAATAAACAAACGTCAAATTTTTTATATAAAAATAAATTTGAATAAAAATTTACCCGGGAAATCGTCGTGGAAACGTGCCACGGTCATTCGACTCGATTTCTTCGATCAAAAAATTTTCAATCAGGGAAAAAAAATTTAAAATGGCGAATTATCAGGTGAGTAAAACAGCAATAATAAATTCGACAGGTGTTTTTATTATTATTATTATTAATATTATTCGATAAGTTTTTTTTTTATCACTACATAACGAATATTTTTCGATAATGTTTTAAATAATTTTTTTTTTTCGAATACGATCACGTATAAAAAAAAAAAAATGGCGCTCGTTTGAATTGTTATTATTACATTTGTTAGTTCATTTGTTTTTATTTTTTTTGTTCGTTGGTTCGTTTTGTTTATGACATTTGTATTTTTGTATAAAAGAGTGACAAAATTAGTGATTGAAAAAAAAGGTTTGTTGTAATATTTTTCTTTTAAAATATTTTTAAATATTTATTTTAAATTGTTTATGATTCGTTATTTTACACAACAGGCAAATAATACTTTAAGTTTTTTTTTTTTTTTTGATTTAGAATTTTAATTTATTGCCAGTTTTATAGTTTTATAAATAATTGTTTATAATATTTATATGATATATTTTTAAGTTTTTTAAAACTGAATCGGTTTTTAGGGAGGGGGTCATGTTTATATTTCAAATTTTTAAGGAAATTAAAAAAAAAATTATCAAAATATACACATCAGGTATAAAAAAAAATTTTATTCATAAATATTGTAATAAATAAGTTTTATATAAAATTACGTATTACTTTTTTTTTTTTTTTTTTTACAAAAAATAATTCAACAAAATATTCAAAATAAAAATTTTTTTTTATAAATAATAACGTTAATATCATTATTAACACGATGAGTGAAAAATTTAATTGATAATTTATTTATCACAGGTTTTTATAAAAATTATTTTGTTCGTACAAAAAAAAAAAAAAAATAAAAAATTTTTGTTTTTGTTACAACCATTGATGTAAATTTAAGTAAGTTTGAATTGATAAGTCTTTTTATAATTTCAATTTTATGGATTTGTTTGTTTTTTCCGGGGAGTTTCCGTGTTGGGTTTCACGTTTGGTTTAACTGTTGTAGTTTGAGGTCGTTTTGTTGTTGTAGATGGGACTGTCTGACGAGCTGGTGCAGCAGACTGCTTTGTGGCTGTTGCAGAAGGTTGCTTTGAGTTTGGAGGAGGAGCCTGTTTTGTACCTGGAGCAGGATGTTGCTTTGCAGCTGGCGGAGGAGATTGCGTTACAGTTGGTGGAGGAGGTTGCCTTACGGCTGGCCGATGAGGTTGCTTTGTGGTTGTTGGAGGATGTTGCTCTGTAACACTACCATGCGCTGACTGTGTAGATCTGACGTTGTCAGATCTTGTAGGAAGCTTAACAGGTAATTTCTCTCCTAATTTCGTCAAAGGTATTCTCCCCAAAAAATTATTATACGGAGAACCCATGTACAAATATCCATTATGAATGAAAACATCGCTTAGATGAGGAAACGAACCATCTGATCCATGATAACTCCTAACCACATCACCTGACCAATTAAATTCTAATAATGTCGTTTTAACAGGAGAAATCCAAAGTAAGGTTTCTAAATGTCCGACAAAATGAAGGCCTGCTTTTGATATTTTGTTCGGATACATGGTTTCAATTTTATTAAATAATGCATCGATAATTGATAAAAATTTAGTCAAAAATTCTCTAGTCAAGGGATAATTAGTTAAGTATTGAAATTCTGACAAATGTTCATGAACTTTAACTAAAGGTGCAAAAAATCTGTCTTCACTGACAAGTCTTAAATTATCCGGCACTCCTGGTAATCCATCTACGAAAATTTTACTGCCTCCCTTGTTGGTGCCCTTCAAAAAATATTGATGTATTCTACTATGACCAGATTCAGCTACCAGTAAAAAATCTTCATTAGGAGACAATAAAATTCCATTTGCTCCAAATAAACCTTCCATAAGTACTGTGTTCTTTTTAGTTCGAGGATCATATTTCACAACTCTAAAAACGTAAATTTATATAAAATCTGACAATAATTTTAAAAGGATAATTTAAAAAATTATTTTTTATACCTTCCACTTCCATCTGAAAGAAATACATAAACACCATTTTCAATAGTAAAATCAGAACTGGTGTGACTCCAATAAACTGTACCATCCCTTGCTATATCCAAAGAATTAAAAATTTTCGAAGTTTTCCCATCAATAATTGAATCCTTATCAACAAGCTTTTCAGTTTTTTTAGTTTTTACATTATATTTGAAAATTCCATAATAAGCATCAGCGACATAAAGATCATCTCCAACTCCTTTTATTCCTAATGGTCTTCCACATTTACTTTCTTCCCACCAATTTTCTGCAAATAATTTATTTGATTCATAAGAAACTTGCAAGACATTTTACAATTTTTTTGTAAAAATTTAAAAAATAATTTTATTGACAGAAAAGAATTATTAATTTTTTAAAAAAGTACAATTAATGTACAATTGAAATAGTTAACATGAATGAATAAATTGTTTTACCGCAAGGCTCTCCGAATTTAACAACTGGAATGATTTGATCATCGAAAACTTTTGCCACATAGCCGCCATGCAATGTAGTGTACATTTCTCCATTGACAACTGTAAACCCTTCGGGACCTTTAATTTCATTTTCAAACAATCTTTCAACATTATCTAGTAAATTATTAAGAGCATAACCCTTTCCTAAATCTTTAGCCGGAGTTACATGAAATTCATTAAATTTTACATCTTTGGGGAATGTGGTGGGACTAAAAATAACTGCCAGGAAAATTAAAACGGAATATTTTACCAAGTTGTATAATTTTTTTATTAACCCCATTTTTTTTAATTTCAAAAAAAAACGAAAAAAACTTAATATTTATGTATTATTATTTACTATTTTAATGTTTTCATAAATTAAAATTTCAATTTTAATTTATAAATTTTAATTTACTTTTATTAGATACCCCACCACCAATTCACTTCACCAACAATATTGATGTGTCATTTGTCGGTTTAAAACCGATTTTGTTCTTATCAAAGGATAAGTTAACAAGGTACTACTCAAAGGAAGAAACATAATTATGTTGGATACTTGAATCATACAATAGCTTAACACATGTTTTCGCGGCAATTATTGTTAAAAGTATAAGAGAGTCCTCCTTCTATAGTATACTATTTTTATTATAAAAAATTATAGAAATCGTTTATTAAATACTTAAATGTATATTGTAAAACTATTACTGTAAATGTAAAAATATCAAGTAAGTTTTATTTTTTTATTTGTAGTTAAATGATAAATTTTATATTAAAAAAAAAAAAATTGTATTATAGAATTGTATTATTTGATATTTAAATACGATAAAAAATTTTTTATAAAAAACTCTTTTTTAAAAAAATACTCTGTTCGTTTTCTAAAACAAATGATTTTAAATTTAATTTTTTAACTGTTAAATCATTTTAAATAAAAACGATTAATTTTTTTAAATATGGCTACCATGTAATATGATTATTTTATATAATGATCAACATATAACATTTGTTATGATAAAACATAAGTCTTATTAAAAAGTTATTAGTGCCATTAGTCAGTAATTTTTGTGATAGTATCCCGCCTTCATTCTTTACTAAAAAAAAATTTAATCTGGTTAAAATGAAAAATAAACAGGATGTTATTAGGTAAAGAAAAAAATTAATGTAAATATTATTATATTTTTTTTTTAAAAAAAAAGAATTTATATTAATTTAAAAATACAAAATTAACATTTAATATAGTTACAAGAAATTGTTTTCAACTTGAATAACATTAACATTACAAAAATTATGTAAAAAATCATTGCTATTATTGTATTTTAATTATTATTATTATTATTATTCAATAATGGCGGTAAAATTTAAAACGTTGTTTATACTTGAGTATAGCAAACGGTTTCAAAATTTTTTATTATTTCCCGTGCGTGTAGCATTTATATTTTACGTTAATTAGGGTGTTTTAAATATAAATATGTGTTTTTTTTTCCATAAGCTTGAATTTACAAATTAATATGACTTTAAAAAATTATATTTGTTAAAAAGAAATTTAAAAAAATTAAAAAAAATTTTTTTTTTTTGAATTGCAAAAGTTGGTAACACGTATTATGAACGTGGTTTTAACACACTGACATTTTTTATTTTGGCATTGCATTGTATAGTAATGAAAATTATTTTCAAAAATGGATAGTTCATTGCATTCTATTCATACTGCAATTTCGTATGTTGTTTATTTATATTTGAATAAAAAATTTACAATTATAATAAACATTTTTGTAATTTTTAATTAAATTTGTGTTTAATTTTAAATTAGGAGTAAATTTCTGCGGTCAGATGAAGACGATCCTTATTCTCAATTTATTCTTCATTCAAAAACACCTGTTTTTGAGTTGAATGCTATCGCAGCTTTTGAAAATTTAACACATAGAGAAAAATTATATGCTCATTACTTAAGTCATGCTTCTTGGTATGGGAGTTTAATATGTCTCTTTCAGGTAATTTTACTATCTTGTCAATTTATGCTTTTGTTTTCTAACGTTATCTGTTTAATTTCTTTTAAAAAAAAAAAAAAAAAGTTTAAATGAAAAATGTTTTTATTTCTTATAAAATATTAAATAAATGTATTTATTTTTCTTTAAGAGTTCACCTGAATCTCCAATTATATTTTCATTAGTTTTAAAAGTGTTCGGAGAGCAGCCAATTGAAGAATTGAAAAAAACTTCATTGAGCAATGGTATAACTCATGAAGAATTTCAGGTATTTCATATTATTTATTTATACATTTAATAAAAATTTCAAATTTTGTTTATTATATAAGATAATTAGTAGATTAAAAATTTTTTAAATTATGTAAATTTCATCATCTTGACATAAACTGTAAATGTAACATAACAATGACATGTCATTGATAAAAATAGCTTATGACATAATTTTAAAGTTGTTTGTTTTTTAAACAATGATGTTAATTTTCAAAAGTATTTAATGTACATTTTAAATTTATGACCATTAACATTGAAATAGATAAATATGTTGTTATTTTAAATTTTATCAGTCGTCATATAATATAGATTATAAAAACAATTATTACGAGCGACTAAAAAAATTTTACTTAAAAAAAAACTGAAAAGTTTTTATATAATGAATTTATATAGCCTTTATTATAATAACATTATTTAATCAGGTTTTTATAAGGAAAATATTTTTTATTTCAGTCCATTTTGGTTTATTCTTGTGGAGTTCTCACTAATTTGGCAAATTATAGAAGCCTTGGAAATTTTAAATATATTCCTGGCGCACCAGTAGGAGTTTTTGAAGGTATAATTAAGTCTAGCAGTGCATATAAAAAGGATCCTCAAAAAATAATGTCATTATGGAATAGTGTAAAAGTAGCTGTTTATTCTTTAACTGATAGAGAAAAGACTTTAGGTTTTCCGGATAATGTAAATTTTTTTATTTCTTTTAAAATTATTTATAGTAGGGAAAAACGAAGCAAAATTAATTTGAAAAATTTTTTTTTTAAGGCTGTGTCTACATTTTTCTCAGCAAATTGTAATAAATCTGATGCTGATGTTATCAGTAAGTTTTTAAACCATATCGGTATGGAGGCATTCAATACGAGAGCTTTTAAAACTTTGTTACCTGATGGAAGTCCTCATTATGAAGTAAATTGTTTATTACTAAAACAAAAATAATTTAATCTCTTGCAATTTTTTTTATTTTACAAAAAATTTTTTCTTTTTTTTTTTAGATTTGCTTGGCATCTGCTGAAGAAGGAAATTACCCGAGTCTCACTAAAGAAAATATATTGTTTGCACGTTCACATTTCAGTGTTACAAGAGGTGATTACTCGCCTTTAATGAAGCTTGTTGTAGAAAATTTGGAAGAAGCAAAAGTTTGTCAGACTTTTTTATTTCTTTTTCGTAGTATACATAAATTTTAAATAGTAATAATGCTTCTTTATTTCACAATATTATTTTGCAGCAATATGTTGCCAACGAAATTCAAGAAGCAATGCTTAATAAATATATAGAAAGCTTTAAAACAGGTTCATTGGATGCTCATAAAGATGGATCTCGGTATTGGGTCAAAGACAAAGGACCTATGGTGGAAACGTAAGTTGAAGTTATAGTACAGGAGGTTTAATTGCCTTCATTAAAAGCTTACAATTAAAAGGCAAAAGAAGTAACTAATTATCAATTTTTTTAATTGAAAAATTTAAATGATTTAAAAATTTTTATTTCATGACTAGATATATAGGTTTTATTGAAACATATCGAGATCCGGCTGGCGAACGAGCAGACTTTAGCGGTTGGGTTGCAATGGTAAACAAAGAGAGATCAACAACATACCATAAATTGGTAGAATCATCAAATTCGATTCTTCCTACTCTGCCTTGGCCGAAAGAATTTGAAAAGGATAAATTTCTACATCCGGATTTTACATCTTTAGACGTGTTAACATTTGCCAATTCCTTAGTTCCAGCTGGAATTAACATTCCGAATTGTAAGTTTTTTCCAAAAAAAAAATTGAAAAACTATTTATCGTTATGTCACCTTATAAAATTTAAAAAAATTTTTTTATTTAGATGATTCAATTAGGCAAAACGAAGGGTACAAAAACGTTACTTTGGGAAACGTTATTTCATCGTCGTTTAAAGACAACTCTCTTCAATTTCTTTCATCGAGAGATCAATTATTACTTGAAAAATATCGGAGTAAATCATTTGATATTCACGTGGGTCTTCACGAATTGTTCGGTCACGGTAGTGGAAAGCTATTTAAAAAAGATGCACACGGAAAATTAAATTTTAATTTGTCAGCTGTGGTTAATCCTCTTACCGGACATAAAGTAATTTTCGACTTTTTTTTTTTTTTCTAATATTTATTTTATTTATTTTACAATTAAATAAATATTTGTTCTCTCAGATCGATAAATGGTACGAAGCGACGGAAAATTACGATTCGAAATTTAACGTTATCGCATCATCTTACGAAGAATGTAGAGCCGAAGCCGTGGGCTTATACCTGTGTTCGAATCCTCAAATATTGAAAATATTCGGTTACGAAGGTGAAGACGCAGACAATATAATTTACGTAAATTGGTTATCCATGATGTGGAATGTAATAGCAAACGGTCCTGAATCGTATAGTTTCGAGAAACAAACCTGGTTACAGGTATGCATCCCAAATGATAATTCATTTAAAAAAAAAAAAAAAAAAACAGTAGGTACGTTACAACCAGAGTTGTTTTTCAGGCTCATGCCAGAGCTAGATTCGTTATTCTCAGAGTATTGATGGAAGCCGGAAATGATTTTCTGACGATTGTCGAAACGGAACCAGGAAGAGATCTTCGTGTAAAATTAGATCGTAGTAAAATAGCATCGGTCGGAATGAAAACGATTGAAAATTTTTTATTAAAATTACAGGTACAGAAAACTTTATTATAAAAGTGTCCAAAAAAAAAAAAAAAAATTTTTTTCAGGCATTTACCCAAATTCTTTTTTTTTTTTTTTTGAAGGTTTTCAAATCTATGGGTGATTTTGCATCAGCATCTGAAATGTACAATCATTATTCGGAAGTGCCAACACACGAAAGTCCTTGGGCAAATTGGAAAAAAATTGCATTTTTACACATGAAACCGAGGAAATTATTCGTTCAGGCCAACACCGAAGTAATAGGTAAGTAATAAAACGCGCGAGTACATTTAGTACAAGAGATTTATTTTTTTTTCCCACAATGATAAATAAATATTATTATTATATTAATAATAATTTATGATGAGTTTTAATGCTAGCTTATTATTATTATTATTTTTTTTTCTTGTTACAGATAACCAAGTCGTTTTAAAACGTTACGAACCTTCTTTTAAAGGCATAATAAGTTCGTGGGCCGAAAGATTTTCGACAAAAGTAAACATTCATCAAATATTAGAAGATTTATGGTTGAAAGATCAACAATATTTCATTGTTTAGAAATGAAATCTAAATCGTCGTATTGGAAAATAGTACAATTTTACAACCGCCTGCGTACGCACTCACGCGTAAGTAAATTTATTTGCCGTTTAAATTAATTATTATTATTATTATTATTATTATTAAAATGTAAATCGATAATGATTATAAAAGATATACTTATTTATTCGTACTCGCGATATATATATATATATTGAAGAAAATCGTTAGTGATAATAATAATGATAATAATAATAATAATAATAATATTTAAATACATAAATATTTGGTACGAAAGCTAAAAATTATCGAACGGATCACGTGCACACACATTCATCGTAAGTAGTAATTATTATTATTATTATTTTCCCCCCCTCACCTCCCTCGCCCCCACCCCCCCACTATTTCTCTTTCAATTTGAAAAAGTTGCGGGAAAAAATACGGCGATCAATCATCAATTCGTGCTCTCCCAAAATGGATTCAATTTCAAGGGTCCCTCTTTTTGCGTCAAACGATTTTCTTCTTTTTGCTTTTGAAGTTTTTTCTCTTCCCTTTTCTTTCGCAGGTTTTCTATTTTGGACGAGCCTAAAATGATTTCACACGTTTATATTTAATGTTACCAACCAATTTTTTTTTTTTTTTTTTTGTCCGGTGCGAATGGATTGGTACCTCTGCTCAAATTTTCCTGTTCGATATCCGCGAGTCCGGAACTACGAAATTTATTTAAACGAGTCGAACAAACGGATGATTCGGTAGTCTTGTTGCTATCTTTCAAAGTAGTCGTCGTCGTTGTTGATTTGGTTTCCGTACTTTCCAAATTTTCGTTGGACGTTCGACTAGGTTCGACCTTTTCGTAAACCTAAAAAATAATAATAATAATATTCGATATAAACGTTGAAATTGAGAGTGAAAGAGGATTTTGTTACGATGACTTACCGAAGGTTCAACATCTTCGAGAGATCCCCATTCTTCATTGTCCCATCCATCGTTTTTCGATTCTATTTTTTCTTTAGTCTGAGCCGGCGGTTTCGATTCCAGGTTGTGAAATCCACTTCCCTGAGCCTGGAAAAAAAAAAAAAAATTTATTATCGTCGTGTAATAATAATTACGATAATTAAAAAATTATAAAAAAAAAGAGGTTAACTCACATCAATGTCTCCCCAATTTTCGTTATCCCAATTTTCATCGTAGTCGGATATCGAATCCCCTCCTTTACTCTCTTCCTGTTCTAACGAAGTCATCGAAGTCACGCTGGAAGTCGTGGTCGAAATGCTACTACTGGAAGGTTGTTCTAAACGTTGAAAAAAAAACATTTTTTTTTTTTCATTTTAAATCATTTAAATGGAGAGAGGTCATTTTTAAAAACTAACGATTTTACCTAATGATCCTGGTTTGCTGAGAGTTTTATTGTTTAACGAAGAATGAGATTTAACGGTATCAGATTGACTCCTGTAAAATTTAGCCGTGACAGCAGTCACGGCCCATCCAGCCCATGTTGCCGCCGCGTTTGATAAACTAGGAGTGGATGCGTGCACGTCGGCCTCTAGAAAATTAAAAAAACGAATAAAAAAAAAAAAATAATGACGGTTGGGATAGAGAGGAGTCGTGAAGGAAAAATAAACAAACCGATAGATTCTCTTAAACTCGGATCTTCAGAGACTTTTTCAAGTTTTCCCAAAAAACCTTTAATCGTTCTAAAAACGCTATCTCTGACATTTTTTTCCGGGTCGGTCGTTAATTGGCATAGAGCAGGAAGAATTCTGGCGGCTACTTCGGAGAGTAAAAAATATTGTTGATTGGATGCCATTGCCACGATACCTTTTAAAATAATAATAATAATAATTATTATTTGAGTTAATTAAATTTGATTAAATTAAATTGCGTGTCATTTAATTAACCTGCACTTCTTGCCGGAGGAAATGGGTCTCGTATGGCACGAATACAGGCAGATATTAATACTTTTTGCCTTATTTGAGGATGTAAATGTTGAGCTATTTTTCCAAGGCACACCGTTGTATTTGTTCGTATACTTCCCTCGTCTTTCGATTGAAGTCGAGCAAAATGACGTAAAACTTCTACGTTTAAATTATTATAGTTCAACTTGGGCGCTAAGTGTATGATGGACTAAAATGTAAAAAAAATTAATAATAATAATAATAGTCATAAAATTGAGCCTATAATAATAAAAAGGGAGAAAAAAGGGGGATCCTGATTTAATTTTTACTTACTTTAACCGTTTGCTCTCGAATTGTTGAATTTGTATCGATGAATCCATGAGCGACTTGTGGAAATATTTGATCATTAACTGTGTTGGAATGTAAATGACTAATAAAATGTTCCAATTGTTGTAGTAAACGTATTCTTGTCGCTCTGTCGTTAAAAGCGAATAATTTTACAACGCAGGGAACTATTTTTTTTTGATATTCCTCTTGGTTTAATAATCTTCCTAACTGGAAAACACATACACATCAACATCGCATACATATTGTCTTTTTTTAAAATTTTTTTTATGATAATTATTATCATTATGTAATTTTTAAATTGATTTACCTTAAACATTGGAGCTAAAACTGCAGAACCGGCTTCGCCATATTCAAAAGCGGTTATCAATTGTGGTAAAATTTTATGTTTGCAAACATGTTCGGGAAAATTGTCTAAAGAATTCACTAAACTAATAAAAAATTTATTCTTTTCTCCTTTTTCTTTTATTTGTATTTCTTCTAGAAAAAGTAATGCATCAACTAATTCATTTTTAAAATATCCACCATTTTTCCTGCATCTTGTTATAACATCAGCCGGATTAGGTCTTGACGATGGATTAGCACTGACTAATTCACAATAAACAGCCGTAAGCGATTTGGGAATCTAATAATGATAATAATAAAAAAAATGTTTACATCAATGGTTCCCCTGTTTAAAAATAAACATAATTAAATAATGCCCCTTTTACATTTTCAAGATTTTTAAGTGACATTTGCTTTGGTAAGTGTCCATTAAAAACTTCCCAAATCAAGCAGCCGAGGCCCCACATGTCGCTAGAGCTAAAACCAAAAAAAAAAAATTTTATCAGTATGAAATTTGTAATGATGTAAAAATTTCAACAAAAAAGAGACAAAATGTACCATTTTGTTATGTGAGACTGTTTAGAAGAATCTAATTTTTCAGGAGGATCATATTTGTCGAGTGCTGGAAGCAATTTAATTGGTAAAGTTGAATTTTCATTTATTCCTGCAACATATTCAACCCCACCGAGTTTCCATTCACCTGCTTCATTAACAAAAACTGATGTAAGACATACATTATTATGACATAAATTTCCATCATTAATAAGAAAACTTAATGCTCTCTGAAAGAGAAATATAATAAATAAAAATGTGGAAATGATGATTTTTAATAATGTATATAATTATTTTCAAACATGTATGTCTTCTCTAAAAATTTTCTTAAAATGAACTCACAGTTATTTGAAATATTCCCCATGATAAATAATGATCTTTTTGATGACCTTCTTGGGAAAATGATTTTATGTGATTACCTAATGGTTCAACATATTCAGTCGCTAAATATAAAGCTCTATCCGTCTAAAAAAAAAAAAAAGTTATTTAATTTTTGTATCAATAATTTATATTAAAGTTTGTAGGTTTCACAATTTATTTTTCAATTCCTTACCTCTAAACTTTCTATATATGTAAGAATACTCGGATGCCTTAACGTTTTAAGTCTTTTAACAGCAGATTTACACAATTCTAATTGTTTTTCATTGCCTTGTTTAACGTCATAAACGAAAACCGATACTTCTTCATCACTACCCTAAAATATAATAATATTCAATTTTTAAATAGGTAATGCAATTTATTTCATAAAAAGAAAAAATTTAAATAAATAGTAATTATTAATAAATAAAATCACCTTTTTTTTAGCTTTATGTAAAGTCCATAAACATTTATCTTCTAAACCTTCGACTGGTTCTCCTATTTCAAAAGCAAAATCTTTACTGGGATCTCTTGAAAAAAATGACCACATTGTTTGAAAAATTATTTTTCTTTAAAAATAAAAAACGATTTGAGAAATTAAATAAAAATTAATAAATGGAGTTTTTTAAATGATAATTAACGTATTTTGACACATAACATTTATATAAGAATTCGTCATGTTTACTTTAATTATGCAGATGACAAAAATTTATTTGCTTCAACCTTAGAGGGTTGGCAGCAAATGAATGTAATAAAAAAATACGTGGAAGCAATTTTTTTTTTTTATTCCTTTTAACGTTTCATTTTTTTTTTCCTTATCATTTCTTTAAAAAAATGTATTTAAAGGCAAGAAGTTTAAACTTGTTGTTTTAATTTATTATAAATCAAGGTATACGAACGATTAAAAAAATTTTTTGACTAAAATCCTTATTAAATATAGCAAATGCATACAAAGAAAATTTACAGGCACCATTAAAAGAAGATGTTAAGGACTTTCAGTGCAATAATTAAACATAGCCTCACATTTTCAAAAAGATAAACAATTTAATTATTTGTTAAACCTTATTCAAATTTTGTTTTATGTCTAGGTTAATAAATGTTTCAATAACATTAAATTATTCAAAGTATTTTTAAATTTTACCCCTGCTAAAAGCAAATACTAAAAACTCTCCATAATAAGAATTATTATTAAATAAAGCTTAAAAAATTTTATAAATTTAAATTAGTAATGCTAATTTTACTATTGAAAAAATATTATTTAATAAAAAAAATTTTTTTATAACTAATTATTAACTAATATAACATGATTTTTATTTTAAAAAAATTATTTTTAATTTGTTTCATAACAGCTAACAGTTTAAATTTTGACAATTTTGTTGTACTTAATGTTGTAAAAATGAACATAACATTAAGTAAGATAGGATTTTCCTTATTTAAAATTTGAAATCATAAAAAAATTTTAGATTTAACACTCAATAACAACAAATATTTTGGGTTAAAACTAAAAATTTGATTTACTTGTAATTAATGTATAACACAAAAAAAAGACAAACAGCCTCTACAATACACAACGAATACTTAATAAAGTAAAAAATATTTTACTTGTTTCATTAAAAAAAAATTAAATTTTTTAAAAATTCACACAATTGAAACAAAAACACATTTAGCAATCTTGCAATGGAATTAAATTAATCATAAAATAAATAATTTTTTTTTTAAACTTCGAGTAATTTTAATGATAAATTAAATTATCTTTTTTTTTTTGTTAAATTTAATTCTTCTTTTTGAGTCTGACTAAATTTAATTTAACAGATTCAAAATCAATTGAAATTATTATTATTGAAATCATATTTATTAATAAGAGTTTTTTATAAAAAAAATTTTTTATTTGTATTAATACAACTGAAGTGTGAACTTTTTTAAGGTAATGAAGGTAATATTAATACAGTTTGATATACTGCATAATATTGAAATTTTACAATTAAATCCTTTAAAAGATTATTCTTGTTGTAAAATTATGTCATTTATTTTCAAGGTTCCATAAAAAAAAAAAAAAAAAAAAAAAAAACTTTTTCAATTCAGTGAAAATTGTATACCTAAAGTTTAGTCCTTCATTATTTACACGACACTTGGTTGTTTCAAGGTCAAATCAAAAATGATTTTTCCGCTCTTATTATGTATTAGATAAAAAAAAATTTTTTTTTTTTTTGACACGGTTAATTAATCACAGTTTGTTTTTTTCACATTACATTTATTTAGTTACATTTGTATATATATATATATATTTATTAGAATTATTTTCTTTTTTTATTCGTTAAACTATTTATTATATTTAAAAAGTTATAATTTATAGCCATATTTTTTATTTTAAAAAAATATTCAAATATTTCATTTTTTTTTTTTTTTGCATTTTTAATTTTTTGTATCTTATTTGTTAAAATTAATTTAATATTTAAATAAATGATGGCTCAGAATACTCCTTTGTTATTAAGATTGGTGGCTTCTTCAATAAGTGCAGCTAATCATGCTGGTAAAATAATAAGAGATGTTATGTCACACGGAGATTTAGCCATTGTTGAAAAGGTTAGTATTCAAGAAGGTGTTGAAAAGGTTAATGATTCAAAATAAAAGTTCTTATAAACACTAAAATGGAATTTTTATTCTAGGGGAAAAATGATTTACAAACAGAAGCAGATAGATCAGCTCAAAAATGCATAATAGCATCATTGTCAAAGCAGTTTCCCAGTGTTCATATAATCGGAGAAGAAGGTGCCATCAATGATGATGTACCCAACGAATGGATTACAAAAGAAGCTGATAAAAACGTTTTGGAACTTGATTGCCCTCGAGAACTTTCAAACATATCTGATTCTGATGTAAGATTAAGTTAATTATTCAAAAAAATTTATGTTACATAAAACAATTTTACATAAATTAATTAAAACTGTTTTAAACAGGTAGTTTTATGGGTAGATCCATTGGATGGTACATCTGAATATACCCAAGGACTTTTAGATCATGTTACTGTTTTAATTGGAATAGCTGTTGGAAATGAAGCTGTCGGTGGAGTTATTCATCAACCTTATTTTAATTACAAAGAAGATGATAAAGAATTGGGTAGAACAATTTGGGGTATTCGAGGAATCGGTGTTGGAGGATTTACACCGAAAAGTCCACCTGCTAATCAGAGAATTATTACTACCACAAGGTCTCATTCTAATAATGTAGTAAATGAAGCTGTTGATGCTATGGAACCTACTGATGTAGTTAGAGTCGGAGGAGCTGGACATAAGGTAAGTTCATATTTTTAATAAGATCCCTAACACTTTAAAACTTTTTTGGACATTTTAAAAAATAAGGAGGAATTTATTATTATTCAAGGTTATGTTATTAATGGAAGGTAAAGCACATGCTTACGTTTTTGCCAGTAATGGCAGTAAAAGATGGGATACATGTGCTCCAGAAGCTATTTTAAGGGCTTTGGGAGGTGAACTCACTGATATGGCTGGAAATCATTATTCTTACAACAAAGATACTCCTCATGCTAATACAAAAGGTGTATTAGGGACAGCCAATAAAAATGATCATGAATGGTATTTGAAAAAAGTTCCAAAATCAGTACTTTCTGCTTTGAGCTAAAACGATTATAATTCATTTTCTTAATAACCCTTGGTTAATAAACCTGATTTTGATATTTTATTTTGTGATATTATAGAAAAAAATTTTTTTTATTGTGATAAAGTTTTGTCTTTGTTAATGTATCCCAATGATTTAGTAAAAATATATTTACTAGTTGTTTAAAATTGCTAAAAGTGGAACTTATAAATTGTAAAAATTCAGACATTGCAATATAGCATCTCCCAAAGTCTTAAATTCCTTTAAAAAGAAAATTGTTGTAAAGATAATAGAAATTTCCCGCCAAAAATTCAGTTTCCCCTAAATATTAATTCCATAAAATTTGAGAAAAGGGAATAAGCGTTTCTCCCTTCTTTTTTTTGGAGGGATTTTTTAGATTGAAAATAATAATCATATGGAAAACTTATTTTTATTGCACTTATTTATTGTTACATATTATAAATATAGTTAAAAATTTATAAGGAATAAAAAAAACATATTAAAATCTACTATCACATAAATGAGCGTAGTTTTCTCTATATATAATTCTACGCCGTATAAAATTCATATAAAATTTTTTTTGGCATTTTTTTTTTTTTAGAAGCATAATTTTTATTCAAGGCAAATTTTGGCAGTTATCGTTATTCGAATCTATTTAAAAAAAAAAAAAAGTAAAAAAATTCTTTTCCTCGATGAATTGTTATAAGCAGCATCTATTCCCGTGACGTTTAATTATTACTAGTTTCGAATTTATTTAAATTAATTATAATTTCGATTTGTTCAACATGGCTTGAAGTTCTCTTCTTAATATTTTCCCACTTGGATTTTTTGGTATTTCTGGAATAAATCGAACACCGCCGTGCAATTTCTTTTGAGGGGATACTTTACCTAAAAAAAACAATTTTTTTGCGTTCAGTATAACGTTTCCATTATTGATTTATGTGATTATTATTTTTATAATTACCAGCAACATATTTTTTAATTTCATCTTCTGTTATGTTAGCCCCTGGTTGCTTTACAATAAATGCTAATGGAAGTTCTCCAGCTTCTTCATCTGGAATTCCTATAACTCCTGCTTCCTTGACTCCGGGATGACTTAGTAAAACTGTTTCTAGTTCCGTCGGTGATACCTGTATTAATTTTCCTTAAAATGATTAAGTTTTTATTTATTTTTTTGTGTCAAGGTCTTAAGTAAAAATTACCTGGAATCCTTTATATTTAATAAGTTCCTTTAATCTGCTTACTATGTAAATAAACCCTTCATTATCAATGTATCCTATATCACCGGTATGAAACCAACCTTGAGAATCAAAAACTTTTTCTGTTTCAATTGGATTATTTCTATATCCTTTCATAACAAATGGTCCTTTAAAACATAATTCTCCTTGATTATAGGGAGGGAGAGCCTTTCCTGTTTCAATATCAACAATCTAAAAAAGATAAATACTTTTAAAAAAAATTTTTTTAAGAAGATTTATTGTACAGATTAAAATAAATTACTTTTAACATCATTCCCGGAGCAATGGTTCCCGAAGATCCTATTTTATTTATATTATTTTGAAATGCCACACAACAAACAGATAATTCCGTCATGCCGTAACCTTGTTGAATTTCAAAATTTAAATTGAGCCTTTTTTGAGCATTTTCTTGAGTTTCTTTACTTAGAGGAGCTGCTCCACATGTTAATTTACGAATACTTGACAAATTATATTTTTGAACAAGAGGATGTTTGCTTAAAAAAACAAGAATCGGTGGCACGACGTACAAATTCGTAACCTGATATTAAAAAAAAATATTTAATTAATATTTTATTTAATGGTTTTATATTACTCATTTAAATTATATATATATATATAATGTAATAACCTTGTAATTTTGAATTGCTTCTAAAAAATTCATTTCATCAAATCTTGGCATTACCACGAGATAAACTTTCAACATCAAACTAATCAACAAAATACAACAACCATAGCCGTGAAAAAATGGTATGAGTCCTAATGTAACTTTATTCGGTCCAGAATCATCGTTGGTCCATAATAATCTGTTTAACAAAAAAAAATTTAATTAGTATAAAATAACTTCAGCTTTTTTTGCATACAGTTGAAAATTAAAAAAGTTTACTGACCTTACAAAATTGAGTAAGTTCATGTAATTAGCATGAGTTAATTCTACACATTTTGGCAATCCCGTGGTACCACTTGAACATAATAAAAATGCTACCGATTCTGTAGGATTAATATTTTCAACAGTTAAAGGTTTTGAATTCTTGTGTAAATTTATTAGGCTTTCATAAGTAGTAAATTTACTCTCAGCATCACTATTATTATTAAATAAAATAAGCTCTTTAACAAAAGGTAATTCCAATGTAGTTTCTTCAATATTGTGAATGCTAAAATGTGAGCAAAATATAATAACTGGCCTTGAAATGCTCAAAGTATGTTTTAATTCACCTAAAATTATTTTTTTATGTGCAATCAGAATTAAAACATTTTTAACATAAATATATAAAATATTAAGTGAACATAAATTTTACAAACTTATAGTATAAAGTGGATTTATAGGAGCACAAGTTGCTCCAATAATCAAAATTCCTAATATTACAGAAGCATATTCTAAATTGTTTTCACTACAAATTCCTACAACATCTCCCGATTTTATTCCTTTAGATTTCAATGCGGCAGCAATTGCAAAAGAATCTTTCATTATTTGTTGATAAGAAATTTTTTGATCGAAAAGAGAATGTACCTAAAAAGTGAATTCATGTTATATGTGAAATTTTTTAACATTGGTTCATCATTAACTTACCAATGCTGGAGTGTTTCCATATTTTTCCATTTCTTTAAAAAGATATTCAGAAATAGAAACATTATTATTTATTTTTTCATTTGAAGGATTTAAGAGAATGTATTCGTGAGTCAAAATAGGTAGGGATGCCATTGTACTGTGTGTTGTGAGAATCTGAAATAAATAGTTTAAAAGTTATTTGAACTTTCAATATTTATGTGAAGATAAATTTCTCAATTATGACGATTAAGTTTTAAACATTAAATATACAAATAATTTCTCATTATTGTATTTACGAACAAAATATCTTAGAGATCTTAATCAAATTTTATAGTGTGTGTATATATTAATTAATTTACCTTTAGCTAAACGAAATAAACTTTATTGTCAACTTAACGACGTAAATTAATTAATTAATTTAGTGTTAATAAATTTAATTTTACGTAATTTAAAATAATTACTTTTGGGTTAAATGCCGTCTTAATTATTATATATATTTTATTTTTTATATCTCAATATTAAATAATTAAGCACTACTGTATGTACTGTACTGATAAGTATGTTATCAGGTTAAATTTTCAACTTGACATTTATCTTTATACATCTATTACGTCGCCATAATCATGATAAGGTTATTTGCGACAATCTAAATGACTTAATTAAACCTTATTCGACTAAAACGCATAAAATTAATAATAACAAAATTTAATTGATGATATTGCGTCAAAAAAAAAAAAAAAAACAATAAAAATAATTATTTACTCGTCAAAATTTTTTTTTAAATAAAAAAGGTTTTGTATTTTTAATAGATATTTTTAACGCATTTTAAGGATTTTAAAATTCTAATACGAAATCATTTTCTTATTAAAAGTTTATTCAATCAAAAAATTAAATTAATAATTTTTTTTTTTTTTCGTAGATTTATCAGTCATGAGTTTTAATCCGTATTTGGGCCCCGAAAAACGGCGGGAATCTTGATGGATGTCAAAAGTAATTTTTTCAACGCTTAGTTTAAAATGAATTCGAAAAAGAAATTATTGGAAAAAATTAATCCTAAGTTGTTAGAAATAACACCTAAATCAAGTTTTGAAGCTGATTCTGTAATAACATTAGAAATTGGTAAAAACGATGTAAATAACGAAGCACAAAAGCTAATGGAAAGATTTTATAAAAGACAAGAGTTAATTCTAAAAAGTAAATGTATTGAAGATAATATTGAGTTGAAAACTTCTAAAGAGATATGTCAGTCAATATCAGAAAAATTATTTTCAAATGTTAAAAAAAAAAATGAATTAAACCGTAATGGAAATGTGAAAAAATTGCCTGATTTTAAAAACATGTTAAAAGATGAAATCGCGACCAAAAGGAAGGAAAATTATGAAAAAAGGTTAATTGAACATAATAAATGGAAAAATGAACAAAAATCTCTTTGTGAAGAATCAACAGAATGTGATTCGGAAGAAGAATTGACTTATTATGAAAAGGAAATTGTAGAAAATGATATAAATAGTAACGAAGATGGTAAGAATAATATTTTTGCTTGTTTAGTTTTATGTCTCTAAAACTATGTATGGTTTTTATTAAATTAAAAATTATTTAATTATTTCTTTACAGAATGCGACAAAAAGTCTGACAGTGAAAAACTTGATACTCCTAGTAATCCTACAGATAATGATACAGTTATTTCGATGAATGGATCAGAATCAACAAAAATTGTTTGTACTGAAACTAAATCAAATAAAAAAAAAAATTCTTCCTTAGGAGTATTCAAAGTCGATGATGAGTATTCTAATGATCATGATAAAAATACTTCTGAAACTTGTTCTACAACAGAATCATTTCAATTTAATTCAGAAACAAATGTACCAGATATTAAAGATACAGAAAATGTTGATAATTCATTTTCACAGTATTTAAAAAACAGTTTTTTGAATTTGTCTTCTTCAAAAGTTAGTTCATCATTAAATTATAAAAAAATTTAAAATTTGAAAATATGTGTAATATTAATGCTTGCATTTTTTAGATTTTAGATGCAGATAAATCACAATCAAGTCAATCAGATAAAAAATTAGAATTTTCAAATGAAAAAGAATTTGATTTGGCTGATGCTTACGAGTTTTGTTCCGGAAAGTTTCCTGGTAAATTATAAATTTAATTTATTTCGTATAAAATAATAAAAATATAATTTAATATATTATAATTATTTTCATTTCAGATTCAAGTCAAGTTAATAAAAGTGAAGAAGTTGCTAATAAAACTACTCCAAATGAGGAAAATGCATTAGAAAATATATCTCAAAATGAAAATTTTAATAAAAGTAAAAAAGTAATGAAACCAAACTTTGACTACTAGAATGTGCTATTAGAATTTTTAAATTGTAGTTAATGTTAATTATTAAATTCCAGAGTAGGAGGATATTCTTTGAAGGAGATGAGAGCAGTGATAGTGAAAATGATGAAAACTTAGATGATTTCGATTTTGATGATAATGATGATGATGATGATGGTGTTGAAGACCTCGAGAATAGTAAGCCAAAGCCTCAGAAAATTTTTTCAGCTGATGAATATGATTCTAGAGAAAGTATTAGTGGAAATAATAAAAAAGTTAAAGGAGCTTTAATGTTTTCAGGTTTGCATCATTATTATTGAAATTAAATCCTTTAAATTCTGTTCAAACGATAATATAATTGCTATCAATCATAAAAATAATAATAAGTTAATGGTTAACATAATTAATATAATTACAGATGAAGAGGATGAAGATGATAATGATCCTTTACAAAATGATGACACTCAAAATGGCGAATTTGATGAAAATAATGAAAGTGAAATTTTAGACTCAGATGAAAATTCTATAGTCGACTCTGAAGATAATTATGTGTTAAATATGAAAAATTTTTTTGAAAAAGAAGCAGAAGTTAGTGGATCTGAGGGTAGCGACGATGAAGATGAAAAAGATTTGGATAAATTTGAGGAAGAAGAAGGAGACAAAGATGATTTAGATTATGCACAAGTTCAGTCTCAATTAGAAAAAATTCACTTGTAAGCTTTAACACTCTACACGAAATTAATTTTATCAAGTTATAAATATTATAAAAAGTATATATTTGCAGACGCCGATTGCTGGATGATGATTCGAAAAATATCAGACTACTTCAAGAATTATTTTTCGAAGATGGAGATTTACATACGGATGAAAAATATAAAAAATTTAGATGGAAAAATATAGGTTGGTTTTTTCTAAAATTAAAAGTACTCATGTTTAACATTTAGAAAATATATGAAAATAATATATTGTCTTTTAGGTGATGAAAATTTAGAAAATGTTGGAATTGACGAATCTCTAACAAAGGATGATGAGGGTGATTGCAGTGATGACGAAATCATTGAAGATATGAGTATAAGACGTGAACGTCTCATAAATCAATTATTATTTGAAAAGAAAACTGTAAGTTTATTTCGTTTTCTTTTTTATTGCTTGTATAAAAATGCTTTTTTAATGCTTCACACATTAAAATTCTAACTTTTTTTTTTTTTTTTTTATTGCAGACGGAAGAATTATTTTCAAACGATTTGTTTAAGAAAACATATCAAAAATTAAAAGTAACATCAGTCAAAAGTCAAATGAAACCTTTTTTTAATAATAATGAAGAAAAGAAAAAAAATATGTCGTCGATAAATTCATTTACATTTGTAAGTATTAAATTTTAAATGGAGTTTAAAAAAATTTTTGTTTAAACTTCATAGTCTATAGTTTTATTATTATTTTTTTTTTTTTTAATTAGAATTCTAGAAGTTCTTTTCTAAGTGAAAATAAAGAAGTTTTATTAAAACTTGCCAAAGTTTCAACATTTGCCGTGACGGATAATACTAACAACAGTACAAAATCGAAAAATTCAAAAAATTTTGTTTTTGCATCGAAAACTCCGGAAAAGGAAAAAAAATTTGAAAAAAAACCCGTGAGTACTTATTTGTAATTTTATTTAAAAAGTTTTTTTTTAAAATTTTATCGTTTCAAAATTTTCCCCGTATTTTTTTAGGAAAATAAAAAAAGACGACCAGAAGAAGAAAATGATGATAAAAAATTAAAAAAAAAATTAAAATTTATACGTGATACGTCAAATCCAATTCCTTCTCTATTAGATCTTGTTAAATAAATATTTAATATCGGTACGTAAATAATAATAATAATAATAATAATAATTGTTGAAACAAATTTTGTTTTATATTAAATTTAAGTGAACGTTTCGTTGAATTTTTATTCCCTATAAAATGTATATAAATTTTATTATTATAGAAAAAGAAATTTTGTGTAAAATTTTTTATTTAAATCGTCTTATTTATCATAATTAATAAAGCCTTAAAGGGTGAAATATATTCGAATTTATCTTTAGGTTGTTAAGGGTTTTCTTTTCTTTACTACTAACAAACAATTCCGACAAACAAACACAACAAACAATATGATCGAGAAAACAGTTTACTGAAGCTTAGTTTTTCCAGTTAAATAATAATAAGTAATCAAGGCAAATGTTTTTAAATCCAATACGAGTAGAAATTTAAACAAAAAAAAGGAAAAAAATTTAATAATATTATAAATATAGTTTAATAAAAAAATTTGAAATTTTTTGTACTCAAATCATTTTCGTTAAATTTTTTATTATTTTTTTGTAATATTGTATTTAAAAAAAAAATTTTTATAATAATCAGGGAGAAGAGAAAAAAAAAAAAGAAATCACATGACAGAAACTCGATTCAATTGATGAAACGGTTGAAATAATTTCGAATCATCAGTCATCAAAGCTTCAGCTAAATATTCGAATATTTTTTGCGGAAGATGTAAGTTTTCTAATAATTCAATACTTTTAACTCTTTTAACAATAATGTTTCTACATCTATCTTGTAAATTGACAAATTCTCTTCTTTGCTCATTTAATATCATTTCCGTTTTTGCCGCCGTCGAACAAACAAACGGATATAATGGTTCCGTACATTTATGCAATCCTCTAAAAGCTACACCCAAATTTTGACCGTCTTTGTAATAGGTGAGAGTTCCGGCTACTCCATCGAAAAGTATACCTAAGCAATCGTATAAAATAATATTTTAAAAAAAAAATTTTCCCGTTAGTATTATCGATCGTTTTGTTTAATATAATTTACCTATCGTTGTGGGTTCGTTTTCTCTGAAGGGTTTTGTAAAAGGGGACCATTTTCCTCCGTGCCAAAGAAGTCCTTTATGTGATAAACCCCAACCCTGATTATCTTCCCCTAATAAATTAGTAAATGTATTCGCGTGTAATCTCGCTTGTCTCGTTGCTATACCGAACATCATGCTCGTACCGAATATCCTTTGGGATACTTTAAGCTCCCAATAATATCTTCCAGCATCCAATGCACGAGTCCCACGAACTCCGGCCGTTCCCGAACTCCAGTTCGGATGAAAATGTGCTATTTTCAATCCCGGACCGTATAATCTCACTTCGTGACTTCTATCCCTTCTATTCCAGGACCAATGATCTTCGCATCCGAATCCCAATGGTGGCGCTTCCGTATCATTATCATCTTTTTTTTCGGTCATATTTTTTTTTTTTTAATTCCCATCATTCCCTTTTTTATTTTTATTTTTTTTTTTAAATAATAAATTTAATTCGCGAGAATGGGTTTTAATAATAATAATAATTAATTATGCGTATTGAATATACTTCGTAAAGAGAACGTGACATTGATAATATTTTTGATATATATATAATTCATAAAAATTTTTTTTTTACGGTTTGCCGAATTAATTTTTTTTTTAAAAATAATTTTGATGGAATATTTTTTTACACTTTCGTATTTTATTACACACACTTGATAAAATTTTAATTAGGGAAAAACTGAAAGTCAAAAAAATAATTTTTCTTTTTTACATATTATAATAATCTCAGAATTCTGTCAAAATATTGACAGCATTTGCGTTCGTTCGAAAGATAATTGATTTCAAAACGGTTTGTTACGCACAAAATAATAATAATAATAATAATTTTTTTTTTTATAAAAAAAAAATCCATAAATAAAATTTGACAGTAAAAAAAAAAAAAAAAAAAAAACAAAAAACAGTAGTAAAACTTAATGTTTATGTAGGAAAATCTAACCGGTTCACCGCCATGATGAATCACTGACTTTGTTCTCTCTCTCTCTCTCTCTTGTCAATTTTCAAAATGACGTCATGTTTTAGAAAACTTGCGCGTTTGCTAAATTTTATTTTCCACCCTAATATTTTATTCCTTTTCCTTTTTTATCATTTTTTAAAACTTATATCGAATTAATCGAACATTAATAATAATTAAAATTGATTTTATTTTATTTATTTCGAGTTTATATAATAAGGGATTAAGTTATTTCATGGAAATAATAATAATAATATTTATCGTTTTTAACTGGAAAACTTTCATTAATTAAAATTACGTATATTTCATTCAAAAATAAATTATTATTATTATTATTAAAGGTCAATGAATTTTGTAAGCGAATATATAATTTTATATATATATAAAATGGGTGCAGTTTTCATGGACGAAATAAATAAATAAATAAATAAATGTCACGTGACATTTATTTACACTAACTCGGGGATAATTCGTTTGTCGTAAAAGTTTTTGGGTTTTTTTTTTTTTGCAATTTAAATTTTCCAAATCGTTTTGTAATTTTCGAACGCCCATTAAAGTCTCTAAATTATAGGTCTTAATACAATGAAATTATTTAAATGAATGAATTGTGGAGAAGGGGGTGAAGGGAGGGGGGGAAAGATGAAATTATTATTAATTATATACTACTACTACTACTACTACTACTACTACTACTACCAAATGCTAATGCAAATATTTTAACCTCCCCAAAATTTAATTTTAACGTTGAGTAACAATACAAAAAAAATTATTATTATTATTATTATTTATTTTAATTAATTTATTACGTCACGATTATAAATATTATTAAGTTCAAAGGTAAACAAAAAAAGAAAAAAATTTCTAAAAAAAAATTGACAAATTTAAATTTTAGAATTATTATTATTATTATTTCCGTTTTGTTGTTTGTTGTTTGTTGTTTGTTGTTTGCTGGTTGTTGTTTATTGCTCGTCGTCCATTTGATTTCATTCAAAATAAAATATTTTCTAGTTTGATTCACAATTTTTAAAAATCCCGCAAGTATGGAAGACATTTTATTTGTTATTTAAAAATTTTATCGTAAGAAGACTTTGACGCGATTCAACATTTAAACGGTGATCGTAATCATTTAAGATTTCTATTTGTATATGAAAAAAAAATTGGATTGCGTGCATACCTTGTGTTGTTTAGATACCAGCCCACAGGTGTGCTGTTCATCGTAAAAGTAGTCTTCCGTGGATCGTACCTGGAGTAAAGTGTCCAAAAAAAAAAAAAAAGAAAAAAGGTGACGGAAACTCTCTAACTTAAATGTATCAAATGATTTTTATATTTGTGTTTAGGTGATTTATAATAAACATTTTTACAGCCATGCATTGGCAAATTTTTCCAGTTTTTGTTTTTTTTATTCATTTTTGTGCCAGTTTACCAAATTCTAGGAGTTATAACGATCCGACCGAAATACTCCTTCACGAAACTAGCGGTAATTTTTATTTTTTATTTCGAATAATAATAATAATAATTTTTTTTTTTAAATTTTTAAATGATTTACTCGTTTAATTACAATAAAATAAAAATTAAAAATGGAACCCTACGATTGAAATCATTTATTCACTTGTACGTAAATTCTCCAGGTTTAATGAGGTCAAGTCGGTTTTAAAGTACTTGCCCAGGTAGTGGTGGTAGTAGTGGTAGAAGTACTTAAACTAAATTCTTTTGTTTAAAAAAATTTTTATTATTTAAACAAAAGAAAAATTTTGTTAACTTGTGTGTGTGTGTGTGATTTCATTTTTACTCTCTTAAAACAATATTTTTAACTTCGTATGGGTTTTTTTTTTTTACCGAAAAGAATGACGCATTCAAAATTTAATAAATTTTAATTATTTATTTTTACTCATCATCATCATCATCATCATCATCACTATCGCCATCGCCATCGCCATCACCGCCGCCATGAAAATTAAATAATAAAATTTATTCGTTTAAATTAAGCTCGTTACAAACTTTAAACTTATTCTTACATGTTTGAAAATAATTAAAACTTGCGCATTTTATCTCATTTAATAATTTTTTTTTTTTAACTAATTACGTTTTTTTTTTGTTGCAAATTTTCACACCGATTCCCCTCCCTTCCCCCCTAACATCCTCCTCTTCCTCCTCCTCCTTCTCCCCGTCGTCGTTAGAAAAAGAAAAAAATGGAAAACTTTGTATTTCATTGACATTTCGAATTTAATAATAAATGAATTTAAGACGTAGAAAGTAAATATGATTAATAATATATATGTGAGTGTTCGACACACTTAGAAATCGAAAATTCTATAAGGATTTTACATTTTTCGAAATTTTCATTCGAAACCCCCTCTCCCCCGTCCCCGTACGTCACCCTTCCCCCCTCGAGAAAAAAAAAAAAATCGTTTGTTCGACGTTGGAAAATTCCCCCTTTTCTAACGTTTCCTTACGCTCGTGTTTTCTTTTTTTTTTCCCCCCCCCCCTAAAAATTCGTTTTAATAATAATGATAATAATAATCGGTTGTTATTAAGGAACCATAACGAGAATGTAAAAAAAAAAGATGAGAGAATTAATTGGGGGGGGGGGTAGAGGGGAGGGAAATATATGATTCGTGTGAGTGAGATTTTACATTCCAGTAATCTATTGGAATAATCAATTTCGAAATTTTTTTTTAATTAATTTATTAAAATTTATATTTTTTTTTCCAGTCACTTTTCCGTTTTCCTTTTTTTTTTGCGATCGGAGGGGGGTAGGGGTAGGGGCAGGGGATGGGGGCAAATTATTATTATTATTATTTATTTTCGAGGCCACACGACGAATATACTTTTACTTGTTATTAAAAGAATTTAAAAGAAAAGTATATCTATATTTTTTTCTTTCTTTAAATCCGTCCCACTTTTCTCAATTAGAAAGAAAGAAAGAAAGAAAGAGAAACGGTATATGTTTTATTATTATTATCATTATTATTATTATTATTATTATCATTATCATCATTATTATTATTATTGTTTAAAAAAAAAAACCGGAATATATCTCTTGGCAAAGACGGATTTAATAAAATTTTAAATTTCCTTTTCAGTTTCCACTTTTTTTTTATATATTTAAATTTATTTATTTACTAACGGAAAAAAACCGGTTATTTTATTATTATTATCATTATCATTATCATTATCATTATCATTAACATAAAAATAATTTTCAATTAAAGGCCGAAAAATATTATTATTATTATTATTTAAAAAAATGTGTAGTATAAATTTGTCATACTTTTTTTTTTTTAAAAAAAAAAATTCGTTTATATCCAGTTATTGGGATTATATCGGGACTAATATTATTATTATTATTATTATCATCATTATTATTATTATTTACTCGTATATTTTTATTGTAAAAATAATGATAATGATAATGATGATAATAATGATGATGATGGTATTTTAATTGTCGATGGACGATTTCTAAAACTTGTTTTTTTTTTTAAATGTTTAACCTAAACCTACCTACCTACCTACCTACCTACCTATCTGCGTACCTGCCTACCTGCCTTCCTTCCTACCTGCCTCTTATTATTCTTTAAACGGTTGTAAAAAAAAAAAATTTAAACTAAAAACTCATTAACCGTTTTAATTAGGAATTTTTAAAATTTAATTAGAAACTCATTTGAAAGTTATTATTATTATTATTATTATTTAAAAAAAATGACAAATTTACCCGTCACGTCACGATAATAATAATAATAATAATAATAATTTTTAAATTAAATCAAAAGTCAAAGTTTTGTTTTTAAACAATCGATAATAATAATAATGGTAATAACTAATTAAAAAAGAAAAAGTTTATTAAAATTTATGAGGAGGGAGGGGCGGGGAGGGAAGGGGTTTAAATTAAAAAATTGGGTTCAAATATTCAATTGGAAAATTTTGACTTTTGCAAATTTCTTTTTTTTTGTTATTTTAAAATGGGTTTCTAAAGAACAGAAAAACCGTTAGAAAATATACGCCGCGTTTTTTTTTTAACCACTTTTTATTACTGTGTGTGTGTGTAAACGACGATGGTAATTTAGGACGCGAAACTTTAATTTTTTTTTTATTTACCGAACATGAACAATCGTGAAAATTTTATACCTTCAGGGAAAACCACTTTGCCCCCCGGAAAACATACGAGTGAAGGTTGTAAAGATTTTTAAAGTATGTAATAATAATAACGTGGATAAAGCGAACAAGGTCGAATAATATGATGGTTAAGAAAATTATCACATCGTGATTTAATAAATAATAATAATAATAATAATAATAATAATAATTGTTATTGAATAAAAAAAAAAAAACGTAATTTCTAAAAATAAAAAAAAAAAAAATTTTCCTTTGTTACACGACGAAAGCGTAAAAATGACATTATTATTATTATTAATATCGTTAATGTAGGTTGTATTTATGATGAATTAGGTTACAAACGTTTTGGTAAATCCGAATTTTTCGTGAGAGAGAGAGAGAGAGAGAGAAAGATGGCGAAATCGAATAATTGATAAAAGGAACAATCGTGAATTATTAGGTAATAAAAAAAAAACCCGAAGAAATTTAGAAAAATTCTTAACTGTTTAATTTTACCGTTATTGATAAGAATTTAATATTATTTTTATTTTTTATTTTAAAACGAGTGTTCCTTATTAATTTATTTAAAAAAAATAAATAAATAAATAAAGTAAAAGTCGCGATAATAATTATTAATTATCTATTTATTTTCCAGAGCGTTCTATAAGTGATAGAAATCTATTTGACGATGACTCGTCAGATGACAGTTCAAAAACCCGAAAAAATTTTAAAGTCAGGTCTATTGACGTCACCTCATCCGTAACTGGGCATGTGACTCCGGAAACAAATAAAACGAGGCCATTAGATGATTTGTCTTTGGACGATGTTCCTATGCTTATGGACATTGATACTAAGCCTGTTGTGACAACAACCGCCAAAATTTCAGAAAACGTCTCAACTTCTTTAAACACTTGCAAAGATGAAACGAACGTTTATAAAATCGGTGAAAAGTTTAATAGAGGTTGTAATGAAACTTGCACGTGTACATCGAACGTGGAAATAGAATGCGAAAAAAGGTGTAAGAGACCGTTGGAAAGAAGAGGTTTTGCTAGAAATGATAAATTTTGCCGGGAAATGCCGACGGAAGACGAATGTTGCGTTATGATTCAATGCACACAAGATACTGGTAATTTTTGAGAAAACCCCTTCCCCCCCCCCTTTTAGTCAAATATGGTCGTAAAGAAAATTTTTTCTTTTATAGAAACTGAACCCATCGAAGGTTGCACACATAAAAATCAAACTTTTCAACGTGGGGAAATGTTCAATGATGGTTGCGAAGCTGTTTGTTCTTGCGAAAGCGGTGGTAAAATTCGTTGCAAGCCAAGATGTCCACAATTGACAAATAATTCATCAGAGCAATGCGTTCAGGTACCTGATCCAGCTGATCCCTGTTGTACGGTTGTCTTATGTGACGTCACATTAGGAGATCAAGACGTATCGAAATCAGGTTTGTGCCGTTCTCTTAAAACCGAAACTTTTTCCTTTTAATTTTTTTTTTTTTTTAATGAAAATATTCATTTCAGGTACGGAAGAAACAACCGGAGATACAATTCCGTTAAAATTAAAATCTGCAGATGCTTTAAACAGTTCCTCCGTTATCATTCACTTTTTGGGCGAACCCAAATTGGAAAGTAATTTAACAGCTGAAGTCAGCGAAGATCAAGTTAAATGGGATAAAATGGAATACGATGGTGGTATTATAAATAATTTAACACCTGGTAAAACCTATTACATAAGAATATTATCAGGAGGTGTTGTTAGTAATGCGGTAACTATAACATTACCCAAAAACACGCCGAAATTAAGTTCGATCATGTCGGAAAATGAAAATTCATCGAAGGATAAAGAAAATGATACCATCGAAGACAATAATTCAAACAAAGAATTTTGTAATTTTAAAAATCGAAATTACACAATTGGTAATTACATATTTATTATTATTATTATTATTATTGTATTGTTCGAAATACTTTCTAATGCTTTCTATTACCAAAAAAGAAAAAAAATTTCACTTATTATTATTATTATTATTATTAATTTCAGGAGAAGAATTTAACGACGGTTGCGTTTCTTATTGTATATGCACCGAAACTGGAGTCGATTGTTCTCCCATCGAATGCCCATCAGAATTCGGTTTAGACGTTTTAGATCCCACTTGTATTGAATGGGAAACAAAACCGAAGGATTTCAATCCGGTACCACCCAAATGTTGTCCGGATATAGTCAAATGTCTCAACAACGGTTCGTGTAATTACAAGGGGGAAAATTTTCCCAATTGGGCAGAAATCCCAACGAAATTATCAGGTTGTGAAAAAAGATGTTTTTGCGAATTTGGAAATGTGACTTGTCAGGATGCTTGTCCTCCAGTTCCAGCAACTCCTCCATCGGATTTACTTTGTTTACCAGAACAAGCCATTTTACATCACATCGATGAAAATGATTGTTGTTTGTTTTGGATTTGCCCGCAAATTTTACGTCAAGGTAATTTGGCTTCTCGAGTGTTGTTGTTGTTGTTTGTTTTAATGATTTTTATTTATTTTCTCTTTAAAATTTCAGATGGAAGTCCCCCCATACAATTCGGATTTCCAGGGTTACCCAATCAAGGACAAATAATGCAAAATGAAGTTATGGTTCAAGTGATAGAACCATTAGATGAGCATACGGTGAGATTAGCATTTTCAGTACCGACATTATTAGTAGGTTTACATGGTAGAGTTGAAGTCAGGTACACGGCGACCAAGCAGTAAGTATCGTAATACAAAACTTTCGTATTATTAAATAATAATAATAATAATTTTAATAGCGACACGTAATTTTCAGTAACGAAGATCCGTCTACGTGGGAACTTCAAGTTTTAGCACCACCGGGAGATCTCATTGCGACTCCACAATTGCATTTCGATTTGGGTAACCTTCTTCCCGACACCACGTACAGCATCTTAATAAAAGTCATTTTGAGAGATCTTTCAAACACTCATCAAAGTCCGATTTTGAAAGTGAGAACTTTACCCGTGAATTCGAACCCGCCCACGACTCTACCCCCGAAAATTCCAATCGATCCTGAATTGTCGGTAGACGAAGTTAATTCAACCTGGGCACGATTGAATTGGAAAAAATTTACGGATTTCGAATTGCAATTCATCGATGGAATTCAAATACAATATAAAAACAAGGACGAAAAGGTTGGTTCGATAAAAGGAACGCCGGAAATGTATGAAAGTTTTAAAAAAATTATGGAAATGATTTGCGAAATGATAAAAAAATTATTATATCATTCCCAGTAACAAAAAAATCATTATTATTATTATTATACGTCCAGTAAAAAAAATGGAAAATTTTTATTTTTATAAAAATCTCTCTCTCTCTCACAAAAAAAAAAAAAAATTTTTTTATCAACAATTGAATATAAATACATATGTAAAATTACTTAATAGTTATTATCACTAAAAAATGATAATAATAATGATAATAATACATAAATAAAAAAATGATTTATTGACAAGAAACCTTGAATATATTATTATTATTTTTTTTTTAATGGATTGTGAAATTGAAATTTATTTGTTTTACAAAGAGTGAAAAAATATATTATTATTATTATTATTATTATTATTATTATCATTATTTGAATAACTTTAAGAGAGAAAGGAAAAGGAAGATATCGGTGTATGATTTGTATTAAATAAAAATAACTTTATTGTTTAACTTATGGTTTAATATTACATATTATCACATTAAAAAAATTACAATAAATGATAATAATAATGATAATTATACAATAATTAACTTTTACACTTAAAAAAAATCTACGTAATGACAATTATCTACCTAACTAACAATCTTAATAATAATTTTTTGTTTTCAGGTTCCGAAAGACACCCCATTAATACACAGACTCGTATCAAGTTACACACTGGATGGACTAAAACCGAATAGCATTTATCAAGTGAATCTTGTTTTTATACCTTATCCCGGTCAGACCTCAGAACTCCAATCAGAAAAAAGTTTACAAGTTGAAACAACGTCATATAATGGTTTGTAATTTAACCAATGATAATAATAATAATAATAATCATTATATTACATCATATTAACCGTGAGAATAATAATAAATTAATTTTTCCTTTAAATTATCTTCTTTCAGATGAATATGAATTTAATATTAACCTTGAAGTATTAACAACAAAATCATCATCCGTTGAAGTTACTTGGAGCGGTGTGCCATCACCTGAAGAAAAATATATAAATATTTATAGAGTTATATACAAAAGCGAAACTGGAAAAGAAGATTATAGTAGTTATAAGGTAGCCAAAAGAGGTTCGACACCAAAAGTTTTACTTAAAGATTTAAAACCTACCACGAGGTTAGTTTATGTGAAAACGGTTTTTTTTTTTATCATTTCATAACCGGTACATAATAAATTATAAAAACTTTTTTAAAATGTGAAAAAAGTTTTGTAATTTTCCCTTTGACATTTAATTAAAATTATTTGCATCATCACCGTTTTATTATTATTATTATTATTATTTTAGATATATTGTCAAACTGGAAGCTTATTTAACAAATGGTAGAGTTATTGAAAGTAACAGTAAAGAATTTGTTACAAAACCTGGAACGGTTCACACGTCCGGTCCTTCTTTTCAGGGTAAAACCTTTTTTTAAACCTTGTTTCTCCAATGCGACCCTCGATTCTTTTGCTTCATGGAAAAAAATGACTTTTTTTTTTTTTTTTTCAGGAAAATTATCTGGAACTCCACCATCAATGGATCCTGGAGATTATTACGGTCCACTCGTTGCCGTTGCCATATTGGCTGCCCTTTCAATAATGGCAGCATTGATATTATTATTAGTTTTAATGAAAAAACATGGACAAAACAAAGCGTCGATTAGTTCTAGAACGACACAGTCCGCGTATGATAATCCATCATATAAGGTAGAAATACAGCAAGAAACTATGGGTATGATTCAGTGACAAAAAAATTTCCATTTATCAATCAATGTGTAACCAAATAAAAATTTCCACTTTAAATTTTTACTTACTTACTTACTTACTTAATTGAAAGGTTATCCAAATGGTAATAATAATAATAATACTACTAACCTTAAAAAAAAAAAGAAAATTTTCCCTTTTATTAATTTTATGTTAATAACGTTTCAGACTTGTGAAAATGATCGTCCACAAACTAATGGAGGAATGAATGGAACAACAGTCGTTATAACAAATTGATTTATTTGTTTGTTATCACATCCTTTGTATGTTTTGGTCCAGAAATGAAGATGAGAGAATATTTAGAGATTTATCACACCTGAAAAATTTATCATTATTATTATTATTATTTACTTCTTATCAGAAATGATAAAAAGGTTCTGAAAAAAAGAAGAAATTTAATTGAGTGCTAAGTACTCGAGCTTTGTATAAATTTGTATTAATTTATTATTATTATTCTATAAAAAGTGGGGGTTAACGTTTCAGTAAAAATAATAATAATATTTAAGATGACGTCATATATATTTTTTGAAATTATTCGATGACAAGTTTTTACAGGTTGTTAAAGTATGTAAATGAGAAAAAAAACTTTATTAATTGTTGTTATATTTATTAATTATGAAATTGAATTGTTTTTAATTTATTTACTTAATAGTTATATTATTTGCCTTACAATATTTATTTTTATTTTCACCAAAGAAATTATTATTATTATTATTATTAAAAATTTGATATTATTTTGCTTATTAATTTTTCAACAATAACTTATTTTATTAAGAAATAAATAAATTATTAATTAATTGTTTAAAAAATAATTATATACAAACAAACTATCTATTTTTTCTTTTTATTATTTGTTGAACTGATTTTTGCAATCATTGTAATAAAATATAATATTATTTAAACAAAAAAAATGTTTGATTTTATTGTTATTGGTTTAAAATAGATTTCGAAACGAGAAAAACGTTACAAAAAATATAAAAATGAAAAATTTTTTGTTGTTGTCTGACTTATTATTTTGGGCAACGATTTCATTTTGTATAATATTTTAAAGAAAAAATGTCTTTTTTTGTCTTTAAAATTGTACTCACGTGTATTAAAAAAAAAAAAAAAATTATCCTTGCAAACTTAATTCACTTACACAAAATTAAAAAATTCGTTAAACGAAAAAATTTTAATATAAAAATTACATTTTTGAAAATAACGGTTTTCAACAGAAAAGAAAAAAAAACGTTTTTTAGTTTTAAAAACAGCCACCAGATTTCGTTAGTAACAAGTATACTAACGAGAGGAAATAAAAGAAATATAAAAAGACTTATATTTCATTTTAATACGCAGTCAGGTTCTATTCATTTTATTTTAAATAAAAGTTTTAGTTGGAACCACGACTATTCACCTTTTGTGAACGCGAGAATTTTTATTTTAATACTTAAACACATTCGAGGGTTTGATTATTTTTTTTTTTTTTTTAAATAAAACGTTTTTTTTTTTATTTTTTTATCGTATAATAATAATAATTCGAAAAATTATTTTTAAGTGTTGTTATGTTTTAACAATATGAAAGGAATGCGCATCTTTCATACCTGTGATGAGGATTTCATTTGAAAAGGTGGCACTCAGGCACCTCAAGGTGTGTTATTGAGAATGAAATTATTTATGCGTTGGAGAAAATTAGAAAAATGAATTTCAAGGAAATGATTTATTTTAAACATATTCTCACTTAATATTGTGCCTCAAATGTAAGTAAAAAGTTTTTTATTTATTTAAAATTTTAAATTAATTTAAAAAATATTCAGTTAAATATTAATCTTTAAAAAAAAAAAAAAAAATTCATTATTGAAAAAATTTTTTTCTCTCATAATTATTATTATTATTAATACAGATTTTACACCTGTATTAAAACTTTAAAAACTAATTTCAATTAATTTTAAAATTAAATTCTTTTATAAAGTTAGATAAAAATTCATTTTAAATTTTAACATGATATCTTAATTGTCTGTATGCCGGCTTTCAAAACATTTGTAAGATTGTACAAAAAAAAAAAAAATTTAATAATGGTAGGAAAAAATTACTTTTTATAACAATTTTTAATATTTTTTATTAAATTACATTGAATTAAACAAAAAAAAAATGCTTTTCCATAGGCTTTATTAAAAATGTTTAGTTTTCTGATACTGGGAATTGCACTCGTGACGTCACCCATCAAAGGAACAAACGATTTAAATGTTCAAATACCGTTGAACAGAATAATTGTTAATAAATGTTGCGAAAAAAACGAAATAATGGATTTTCATCATCATTGTTTAAAAGTGAAAGAAAGTGACGTTCAAGTTTGGTCGCCAATATTCAGCGATGATTCTGGAAAGCATAATTTACAAATAGGTATAATAATAATAATGTCATATTTGAATTTCAACGGTTTTTATTTTTCGAACGTGATCACGTGATATTTTTAATTAATTCGTTAATTTCAGATTTTAAAATCGTGACTGGATTCCCCGCGTGTAAAACGTCACAACAATGGCCAATTTATCATTTTCAAAATTCAACGGATCGTTTGTTTTTACTTCCAAGTGGATACCTTCGACATTATCCTCGTTACGAAGAAAAAGATCCTGATGAAACTGTTACGCAGTCACCATTGCTACCTGATGGTGAACCTAGGTATTATGATTATTCACAGGGTTCTTATTGTTTAGACAAGGTATGCATACCTATATATAACAAGCAAGTACTTTTTCAAATTGTATGTGTGTCACACTATTTGTGACTTTTTTTTTTGTTTTTGTTTCAGGCTTTAATTAATATGACTAATTCCATCGTGACTGCACAAGGAGCTGTTGTTTGCGTTCCTGAAATACCTGTGACGTGGGAGGACACTGATTTTATTATGAGAAAAATATTAAATCCGATATTTCATGCCATCGCCATACTTTTATTTCTTGCCATAGCCATTATTTATTTTGTTTTACCTCCTCTAAGAGATTTAGTTGGTAATATTTTAACATCTTTAATGATTTGCCTTATTATTTTTGAAATCGGAGAGCTGATAACGGTTTTTACGAGATTCACAAATCACGTGAGTTTTTTAGTCGCCGGTAAGTTAATAGAAAATAAAAGATGGATACATTTCCACAAAGAGTTTTTACTGATATTTTTTTTTGGACATTTTCAGATATTATATCTAACGTCAGCCTCGTCGCTGCTTTTTTTTGGTTGAATTCTTTTGGATATTACATTTGGAAAACTTTTAGATCGAGAAATGTATTTTTAAGAGTAACCGACGGTAAAAAATATTGTTATTATTCCATGTATGTGTGGGGAACAACTGGAGCCATGTGTGCATTAGCTTTAACAGCACATTTCCTGTTGGAAAATGATAAAGACATTACAATCGCTTCACACGGTCAACAATCTGTAGGTGAGGTGGTATTATTATTTGAAAATTTATATCCACCACACATAAATCACTTCAATATTATAATAATTAAATTATTGTTTTAGGGTGGCTTGGCATGGCCATGTTTTTCACTCCAATAGCATTCACCATCATCATTAATATTTTTTTTTATTTAGCAACTGGTCAAGCCATTAGCAGAATGTCCACTTACGGTAGAATTCATAATAAAATGAAATTTAGGTAATATTTTGACATTCAAAAAAAAAAAATCTCTTCGAATTAAATTATTTATTTTTATTATCTCTTTTTCAGTTTTAGTATGTTTATTAAATTGTTTTTAATAATGGCGTCATGTTGGCTTCTTATGCTCTTATCATGGCTTCCTTACGATGCTCTGGATTATTGTTACATAGCATCAAAAGCCGTCGAAGCTCCCCTAATATTTATTATTTGCGTTCTCAGTCAAAAAAGAGTTCTTTACCTTTTACGAAAGGTTTGTTGTACCGAAAATTGCATTTTACCATGTTGCAGACCGGATGATAACGATCCAAGCGATTGGGGAGAAGAAATGATGGCGATGAACACTTATCACTATTGATATTTTATTTATTTATTTATTTGTGTGTTTGTTTTATTTATATATAAAAATTTTCTCACCAGGACTCATTCAGCTGGTGCGTGTGTTAATCAGTTGTATAAAAAGTCCGTTGAAAAAAAAAAAATGATTGATTGGCTAATGACTGAATATTACAGCCATTTTTTTATATAAATTTTGTGTTTTTAAAGGTTTGATATTTTTAAAACATTTTTTTTTCTAGTCTTATTTATTAAATTTGACATATTTAATGATTTTTATTATTATTTTGTATAAAATATTAAAAAAAATTTATTTTATTTTATTTATTTATTGTTTTTTTTTGGTAAATTTCATCAATAAAATTTTCCCATTCATTATGATCGTATTTGATCAGTCGTAGTTTTAACGGTGGAAAGTCAAAAAAAATAAATTATTTAATTAATATTTAAAAAAAAAAAAAAAAAACTTTTGTCAACGTAAATTTAAGATAATCTCAGATAAAGTTTTTTTTTTTTTTTTTTTTTTTTTCTAGCAAATTTTTTTACCATTAGATTATATTTGCGGCGGTTTAATAATAATAATAGAAAGTGGCAGTAGATTATTCATTATCAATTTTTAAACAGCTGATTTTCGTATGAATACAATCGCTTATTAATTGTGTGTTGAAATTTATTATTATTATTGTTATATTATGACGGAATTGAATACAAGCGTTAATTTTGTCTGCCAAAAATGTCTTCAACCATTAAAACTTGACGAAAGTTTTGATCATTTAGAAGGAGGGACATTAGCTGAATTATCTTGTGAGTTCATTGTATTTAATAAATTGAAATAATTTTGTTTTATCAATAAATAAATAAAACATTATTTAAAATCAATTTATTTAATATGTTTTTAAACTTATTTCGTATTTATTTCATTTGGTTTTAGTAAATTAATTGATTTTGTATAGTAATTAAC